CAAAAACACGCAACAAAGAGTAATCTGGATCAGTGTTGAATAACATATGAAATAGAGTTTTATTGTTTAAGCGTGGGGTTGGTAAACGATTTATAGTATATACAGCGGTATCAAATGCATTTTTCCAGAATTTATGTGGGACATTGGCATGATGTAGCAATGTTCGACCAGTTTCAACAATATGCCTATGTTTTCTTTCGGCACAACCATTTTGTTCAGGGGTGTATGGACAAGAGGAACGCTGCACAATTCCATTATCTCTCAAGTAATTTATCAATACTTGATATTCTCCTACCCAATCTGCTTGAAAATTTTTAATGGGACGACCAAGATATTTTTCCTCAATTGTACGAAATTGCATAAGTATTGAAAGGACTTAAGATTTAAGACGAAGGAATAAATCCATGTATATTTGCTAAAGTGATCAAAGAAAATCACATAATATTGATACCCTTCGTTTGAAACAACTGGAGCAGGACCCCAAACATCTGAACAAACTAGGTCTAAAGGCCCGGAGGCTTGAAAACTAGAATCACGAAAAGGAACTTTATGACTTTTACTGACAACACATGTAGAACATAAACTAGAAGATTTAAAGGAAGGGACAATGACGCTAGACGACAATGCTTGATGAACGGTAAGAAGTGATGTATGAGCCAAATGAGCATGCCAACCCCTAGAGATGCAGCATAAGATGCAGGTGTAGATGACTTCAACACATGAAGAGAATACAATCCATCTTCACTCGGGCCTGTGTGCAGTATGTCCCTCGTCGCCAAGTCCTTAATCAAAAAATGGTAAGGAAAAAATTCAATTGAAACTTGGTTAAACTTAGCAAAAGAACTAATAGACAATAAATTTTGAGCAGCAGTTGGAACATGTAGGATATCATCAAGATCGAAACTTTTTCCAGATATAACAACTGAACTCTTACTAATGTGTGAAATAGGAATTTTAGAACCATTACCTATAGTAACTTCCTCAGGACCTTGGTATTCAGAATGAATACCCAAGTTTTCAAGATCAACTGTAAGATGATGTGTGGTGCCGCTATCCATTAACCAATTTTAAGGAGAAGAAGTTCGTGCTAAATTGGAAATTGGTTGTCCAGAAACTTTATTGCTAGTGTTACCCCTAGGAGATGGACACACACATGCAATATGACCTTTACATTCACAGTTATGACAAATAATTGCAGACATATCTGAAGCTTGAGATGATGTAGAATTGGTATGTGCATAGTTATGAGACCCACGATTTTGAGACGGTTGGAAGATGTGATTGGAGGAACCCCCACGACCTCGGCCTCTACCACGTCTACGGGTGGTAGAAAAGGAACTCTGAGTATATTGTGCCGTAGGCGCAATGACTGTAAGAGCTTCATCCCTTTTCAATTGTAGTTCTTCGTTCAACAACAATCTATATAATGCATCAAAAGTAATTTTCTCGTGACATGATTCAAGCTAAGTGACCTGGAAAAAGGACAATAGGAAGGTCCAAGTCCAGCAAGAACGAATTCTACCAGATCATCATTCGAAATCGAATGCTGCAGTGCAACCAACTTATCTGTTATTCCCTTTGCCTTTTGTACATATAACTCAATATTGACATTGTCACAACGCAAAGTGTGCAACTGCGATTTGAGTTCACGAATGTATAGCATTAATCCAGATGCATATGCAGCAACAAGTTTGTCCCAAACTGCACGAGCAGTCGTCGCTCCGAGCAACTGAGGTAAAATACTTTCTAAAACAGAAACAACAATCCAACTTAGAACAAGCTGGTCTTCACGTAACCAAACCGTGTATGCTGGATTGGATTTGGTATTGGTAACGTCCAAAAATTGTGTTGGCATTTGAGTAGTACCATCAATATGATGATTCAAGCCACATGCGAATATCATAGGCATAAACTATGTCTTCCACAGTAAATAGTTCGAAGATGTGAGTTTCATAGGCAATTGATGTGCGAGGTTTGGAGAAGACGAGGGCATCATGGAAGAGCTGTTGGTTTCACCCATGAAATCTATTTTCCTCGATGAAAAAAAAATATAAAAAAAAATAGTGGGTTGGTTTAACCTTTAATGGCTCTTGATACTATGTTAAAGATGATTTTCAATTGTATTCAATTCTTCGCCTGAATACATCAATATATATACATGAGTTTCTTGAAGAATAGGACTTCAAAGTTGTCACGGCTAAGGACTCCTAATCTGAATACAATTACACGACTTCTTCTAAATTGATTCCTAATAATCAGTAAATAAATACAAATAGACTTCCACTCAAACTCCTACGTGACATTATCTTTACAGTATCAATATATACTTAACTAAAAATAAGATACAATGAATTAAAGAAAATTTTCATCGTGATCGCGATTATTATTGTGAAACTTTAATTCATTGTATCTTATTTAAATAATCTATATAGCTAGGGAATTGCTTTTAACATACTTTTATTATTAATGATGATAATAATATGATACCTGCTTAAATATCGAAATAAGAATTTAGCCGATCCTAATTTATTTGAAACGATCAAGACATAGTTGTTGTAATAGTTTCCCACATGATCACTACATCAAAATCATTTCTCTTTTGCTTTGCAAATACACGAACAAGAAACATCTCGTTTTGATGAAAAATAACCTTTTTTTTTCATTTACTTGGTGAAGTTACAAATTATCGTAGCACACCAATGAATTCCAATAGTATCATACATATGTATACTTCATATATATTTTTCTTAATTTTGTGTAATTAATCTACCTAGCTAAACTAGAATTAAAAAAACAACAGATCTCATAAAAAAAAAATTAAATATAAAAATATCATGCTGCAGTAATTCTAAATCTTGTTATTACCCTTTCTCTCATTGTTCTTGAATGTGTCAATCCTTCATCCTTTCTATTTCTCTTAGGATTTAATAATTTTGACAAAAACCCTTCTTTTTTCTTCTTCTTCCCAATACTATTATCTTCCAATATAATTCCACCTTCTTTTCTTCTCATAATCAAAGCCAATGATCTACTCTTCATGAGCACATTAGTGTTTGGAGATGAACATGAGGACACGTCTGAAGATGAAGACAAAGAAGATAAGGAAGAAGAAGAAGAACATGAAGAAGTAAGAGTTGTCGTGTTACTTCTTGATGTTTTTGAAAGCAGAGAGAGTTTTTCATTAAGACAGACAGAACAAACCCCGGGATTTTGCTTGTGCTTAGGATGCTTCTTGCATAATATAATAGAATTCGATTTTGATTTGCTTTTGTTGATTTGCATTTGATTATCTCTAAAGTTCTTGAAAAATCTCCTTCTATTATTTTCCATTTTTTTTAGTTAGATGTTCTTCGAAATGAAGGGGCTGTGTGGGTATTTATAATAATGTTAAATAGGATGAGAAAGGTTGGCAAATGAGGCTTCTATGATATTTCATGTGAGGTTCCTAATGAGGTTCATTAAAATGACTTTTTTGACCTGTTATATGACATTTTTTTTTTTTTTTGAAAAGTCTGGTTCATGGCCCAATATGCACGGCTGGAAAATTTGTAACTAGTTGAAAATTAGGAAAATGTGTAAGAGAAGTGTTTGATTCCGTTCAACTCATTTCATTAACTATTAATACACACCCTTATAGACACATACATTAATGTTATAACTGATTAAATTACGATAACATTGCACAGACAAAGTCAAAATTTTTATCTTATAAATTTTGAATTTTATAACGATGATTTCAAGTGTTATGAGTATTTAATATACTATTTTTTAATATATATACGCTATTTGAACAAAAGCTAATATTGGATGCTTCTAACTCCACCCCCTACACAATCTAAAAAATTCTAACTTAAATTCACAAAATAATATTTTATTAAATTAGTTAAAAGATTATTACTAATAATTATTCGAATATTAGTAACTTAAAAAACAAAATATATTATTATTATTATTATTATTATAATACATTAAAATGCATTGATCGAAATAGTAAGAAATTATACTACCATCAATGCCGGATGAATATAAATCACCTAAAATTGAATTATCGAGTCAAATCGAGAATTTAAATACTCGATTCAACACCCAATTCTTACAACGAGTATACAACTTTGTAAGTAAATCCATAACTGACGGGGGATTTGATGAGTCGGTGACTAAAAGACATAAATCCATGAAGCTTTCTTACGTGGGACAAGCGTGGAAATTGACTCTCTTAATTCTACTTTGATTTTAGTAATAGTTAATACTATAGTCTATAGTACTAGTAATAAATTATATTTAGACGATTATCCTTCTTGTACGACCATAATAACAGACTACCAAAATTCCTCAACTTGTTATGCTAGTATATCTTTTAATCATATTTTTATTTTGATTTCATAATTACTAGTATGATATATGATTTTTTTTAAATTTTGCACGTTTAATCATGTCTTCTGTTATTGTTGTTGTTGTCATTTTTTGTTTTAAAAATATTTTAGAATTCAAATTGTTAATCATCATTTACTGGGCCAGATATGATTCGAGATTTTAAATCCGTTGGTTATATATTTTTATTTCATTCTTATTAGCAAATTATCTCATATTTGACCTAGTTCATAGCTTTCCGAATGAAATGGATGACCTCCACGTGTCCATATTTTTGGATAAAACATGTCCAAATTTGCAAGTGCCTTTGTCTATATTTCAAGAAAATATATACATTGAGGATTTCAGATTAAAACTCATACTATTTCATTCTCTAGTGTTATTTTCAATAAAATAATACATTGGTTTAAATGGAATATTTGTAAAAGAAGAGCACAAGACAGTTAGTGCACCTACCATATCACGCCTTGTATCTTTTTTTTGCAGAAAAGGTTGTGCCTTTAAGTATCTTATTTGATGTAATCTAATCAGCAAAGATACTTTTGTTTAAACTTAAGCTTTGAAGCTGCAAAAATTATTCCCATCCTAACAACCTCGCCGTTTTCTGGTCCAAGGGGGTATTAGTTAATCTACAAAGGCATCAAACAAGAGTGATCATGTCACCCATGACATGTTTAGATGAAAAAGATGAGTACCTAAAAAGGGAAAAGGAAAAAGACAACTTTTTTATCCCAACAAAAGTAGACGTTGTAACGGATCAAACAAGTCGTTATCTTCATGTTAAGCTAGAAAATGAACACAGAAAACCTAAATATCCTTGAAGTGTTCATCATTTTTCTCCTTTCTTTCTTATTTTGCAGTTTTGTTTGCCTCCGTACTTGCACTTGTAGTTCCTATCGGGCATTGGGATACATATGGCTTCAGCTGAAAAAGAAAGAGAAAAGAGAGGGATTATTCAATCGCGAGGTTTTATCAACTTCACAGAAATCAAGTAAATGAAAAAGTCACGATCTAGTGAACACTTGAAACTTTTTCCAACACTCTAGATAGAGTGAGTAGTTTCTTTTACCTAAATTATAGACTATGTTTTTTTCTTTATGGGATTCTGTATATTCAACTATAATTTCCAGAGAAGCTGAGACGAGGAGCACTATCTTGGAAAATAGTGGAAAGTGAACTCCCTCCAATATTGAATGCTAAGAGGAGAGAAAGCAGCTGCACCACAGAACACAACAAAGTGCAATCTGATCACTGAAAATTAAGCTCATTTTGGGGTATGCTGAAAAGTCCATGCCCTAATCCATTGGCTAGAAATTGCTAGTTCTAACCTACCTCAAGCACTATCTGTTTCAAAATTTTAAAAGACTTGGAGGAAAAGATCAACGTGATGGAATTACCCAAAGAATGTATAAATATTTGATACTTTTTGGACAAAAAGAAAGTGCATGGATGTAAATACAAATCAGAAGAAGGTGGTGATCTAAGCAAGTGCTGGGCTGGTGGGCCCAACGGAAATCACAAGTATTTCCTGGAAGAGACTGAAAGTTATATACAACTTTCTTTAGATAAATCAAAAAGAGTTCATTAATAATACACCAAGATAGTGTTATCTTAACAGAGTGTCTTGTAAAACTGGCAACCTCTAGCTGACCAATGTATTTAGCATTTATATCATTATCTACTCTTTTAAGGCTCTTGGCTCATCTAAGATACGACAAAAGAATAAAGGTAGAATGAATGAAATAGAACAGCTGTTACTTTATAACCTGATTCCCTATTGACTATAATCTAGCTCCAAATTTATATACTTCCCTTAATCATCGCTTGGATAGAAATAAAGTTGGAAGTGAGTGATTTCGGTCACTATGTGAACAATAGAAATTATAATTAGTAAAACATCTATATCATATCTACTCTGTAAGGCTTTTAGCTCATCCAAGATGCATCATGGAAAAAGAATAAAGGTAGGAACGAGTGAAATAACACATCTATTGCTTTGATAACCAGATTCCAAATTGACTACAATCAAGTTTTAACTTCATATACTTTTCTTAATCATCTCTTGGATAGAAATAAAGCTCAAAATGAGTGATTCCAGTACTGTGTGAACAACAGAAATGATAATTAGTTCTTATACATGACTGATCTTTTATATACTGGTTTGTATAATATCACTAAGGCCTTCTGTGCAGAAACAAGATAATTGCTTCTCCAAAATTTTAAAAATAAAAAAAGGAAGGAAAACTAGACGAGCAATGAACGAAATTGCAACATACAGGTCCAGCATAACATAAAGGATTGTTTACACACAGAGATATTCTACACAAGATGTTTTGAGGATAGGAGGAGTTTAGTACAGGATATTAAGCTAAAATGCATTTTGCTTTTCTGTTTTTGGTGCGCTAAACTGTATTCTAGTGACACTGAATCAATCCTAGATGTCCTAGGCACCATTTAGGATTGGTTTCATATCTGGTATATTCTGTACCTATTCCATTTGTAAATTGTTTTTTCAGTACACCTATGTACTGGTTTTAATACAAAGTTACCTTACTCTAAAAAAAGATATTCTACACAATTCCATCTCATCACCATAAACAGAACAAGCTGCAAGAATTAGGATATCACCCATCCAAAAGTTCGAGACTAAGAGACATAAGAACTCCTAGGTGTCCTAAGAAGAAACACAGTTTGTGGCACTGTCAGTAGAATGTAGCAGTACTTACAGAAGTTGTTATCCTTCAGAATATATATTTATGCTACATAACAACCTTTTACCTTTCTCTCTCCCACAAATTGAAAAGAACAAAAGAAGGTGAGTAAAGTTTCTACATGACATCTTTTAGATTATGAAAGACACGATAAAACTAGGTTTGAGCCTGATAGAAACATATGTTTAATATAGCAAGTATTTGGGAAAATTACTGATAGCACTTTTTTTTCATTGGCAAAGGCAGATCTTGATCCCCGCAAAGTAGGGGTAAGGTCTGCGAGAGCACACACACCCTTCCCATTTGAGACCCCATTTGTGGGATCACACTAGGTATGCTATTGTTGATGTAAAGGAAGATCATAATCCAGGAGGTACAGTCAGTGTATTCGGAGTGTTAGCTGGGTTGGGAGAAAATACACTGGGTAAATGCTTACCCGCACCGAGTGTTTACACCAAACCAATAAATGCAAGACGCATGTCTTTCACATACATATTTAACACTTAACCATGTTTAATGTATTTTCCCTTAATTGTTAACTGATAAGATTAACTTTATTGGTTTGATGTAAACACCCGACACGGATAAATTTTTACCAATACACCGCACCCATTGCTCCCAAAATGATTGGCGCTCTGCCCCTACTTGTGGGCTGCACTTTTAAGACCTATTACAACTCATAGGAGTAGTTTGGTAGATAACAAGTTATCTCGGAATAATAATATGGAGATTAAATAATACAGGATTATTCAGTGGGTATACTTCTATTGTTGGATGTTTAGTTCATTGGAATAAAAATGGGATATTGGGGAGGTGCAGTCTGTGTATTCGGAGTGTTCGTTGGGTTGGGAGAAAACCCAGTGGTATATACTTACCTGCACCAAGTGTTTACACCAAATCAATAAATGCAAGACACATGTCTTTCACATACATATTTAACACTTAACCATGGTTAAGTGAATGTATTTTCCCTTAATTGTTAACTGATAAGGTTAACTTTATTGATTTGATGTAAACATTCGACGCGGATAAATTTTTACCAATACACTGCACACATTGCTCCCTGCAAGCATAGGTTCTCCAGATACTTGTATAGACTTAGCACCAGCTTGTTGTTGGAAAATTTCTCCTTTCAATATACTAGCTACTTACATTGTCCAAAAAAAGTACTATTATCATTATCATAAACAGCCTTTTCAAACTATAGACTATTTTAAGCTAGGTGGTCTGATAGCCAATTACTAATTTAAGACAGCATTGGAACAAAATATAATTAATAGAATTCAGGCATAGTTACGAAAGAATTGGGAGGAATCCGACTTGTTGGACCCCAAAACTTTGAATAGGACTTGAAGTCCATTAAAGGGAGATAGGACTTATGTACAAACCTATTCCAGTTGGTTCTGCAAGGATGAAACTTGATGCTGTACATTTGGGCAAGCATTGAATTGAAAGAAATAAGGGGAAAGAAAAGCACATTGGACCCATTTCTCTTCAGTTTCCTAGATCTTTTATTTGTCAAGAACTACTTAAACTATAGATGATCAAATCCAAAAGCAAGACATCCTAAGAACATATGAACACAGAGGCAACTGCTTTCAAATACTAAAATCAGAGATTCCCTCCTTAAACAAGGGTGGGAATGGGATGAGGAGGAAAGCGGTTTGTTTGCTCTCTTTCTGTCTGCTTGATTTCCCTTGCAGAAGAAAGAATCTTGGAATGGCAAAAAGGATAAAGAGATCAAAAGAATACAATCAACTTGCTAAGTTCTAGCAGAACTGTCTAACGTAAAATGGGCTAAGACCAGAGGTGGAAACACGGGTAAAAAAAGAAATGAAAGCACATGGCCCTCTTTTAATTTTAGCAAATTATTTACAGAAAACTCCAAACATGTTTGGATTGGCTTAAAAGTTGGTCAAACCTACTTTTAAGTCATTTTTAGTTTTTGAGAGTGTTTGACAAGGTTAAAAATAACTTAAAATAAGTTTAAAATGACTTAAAAAAGTTAAAAACCAAAAGTACGACTTTCCCTACTTTTTATTTTTTGACTTAAAAAGTCATTTAAGTTTGACTTTTTATTTTTTGACTTAAAAACTACTTTTTTTTAAAGCCAATCCAAACGGGCTCTCACTCTTGATCAGTGTTATCAAAAGTGAAAAGCACAAAAAAGCTACAAGGTCCTTTGGGGATTTAAACAAAAATGAGTGTGGCCTCTGATGAAAAAATGCACAAATGGAGAAAAACTTCAAATCTGTATGCCTCGTCCAAGGTTAATAATCATAAGCATGAAATAACAAGTATATGGACTAAAAATTTGGAAGAAAATATGATGAAGTGAAATATCAGTTGTTTAGTGTCCCATCTTCAAGATTACACTCATTATCAAGGTAAAGTATGTCTTCGAGCCTTGATGACGACAACAAAGTGCCCATAAAGTGAGGTGAACCGCTCAACATGTAGTGAGACTCACTTTATGGCTTAAGTGCGCCTTTGACAACACTGCTCTTTATGAATGTAAATGGGAACAGTGAATTATTATAATTTTAAATTTGATTGCCCTTCATCAAGCTGAAAGGCTAGAAGGTGAGCAATCGAAAAGTACATTGATCAGAGAAAATATGATTAGTCAAGAGTTCAGTCAATGTTAAGTACCTTGAAGTCGGTCAAATCTGGAACTACGTAGTTAGGCAGCTTCTCTTGCACAATAACATAACCACCTGGAACAAGAAAGAACGATCTAATATTATTAATAAACTTAGATGTCTGTGTGTTTCTATGTGACTTAATTGTTGATTTTCAGCGTCAAAAAATGCTGGAATATTTAGCTTTCAAAGAGAAGGAATTCGGTAATTCTACTTCTTTATCATGGGTAAATTATGAACTTAGACAAACATGGTCTGGGCCAAGCGAACAAGAAATATAAATCCCCTAAGCTGTAGCCTAATAACTTGTCAGATGTTAATACTACAACCACATAATCTTTTTACATAAAGCTATAGAAAACCTGTTTCAAACAGGGAGAAAAGACAAAAGAATAGCACTCCTAGTTCACAATACTTGAATAGAGATGTCAAACCTTTGCGAGTGTGAAAACCAGTAGGCTTGCAATTTTTTCCCTTGTAGAAGCCCCGAGGAACCTTTTTTGTAGTAAGAATATCAAGAGATGAAGTACGCTTTCTTCTGAAAGATCTCCCTAAACCTAATAACAGTCCCAGCGGCATTGTATGGTCTTCCAATTAAAAGAATTGTGCCTAGAGACAACAAAATACAAAGAAAAAAGGATATTATATATTTGCATAAGATCAAGATTTAATCTTTGAAGTTATAAGCAACTTTTGCTTTTTAACCCTTAATCACTGGTTTTCTAAATTTATTTATTATTGTGGAAAAAGGACATTCTATCTTTAAATATGATCAAGATTTAATTTCGAAGTCGTGATCAACATTGACTTTTTAACCCATTAGTACCGTCACAGCAATCTATTCCTCCAATGATCACCCCAATATCCTAAGGCAAAGATAATTAGCATGTCACGAGGATATATGGAAACAAGGCAAATCCAGAGGCAATGCCAGGAATTCTAACAAAGGGATTAAAAAAAATTTGTATACCTAGAAGCTTCTCTTTTGTTAAGGGTATAAATTTGTTTTTGCCCTACTTATACCATGTATTTTCGGATGAAGGGGATATAATTGACCCCCCTTACTTATCTTTAGCTCCTTCAGTGGGAAAATCCCTGGTGCTAAACACACCGCTTAGAAAAAAATGTGAAACCAAACCAAATTGAAATAAATTCGGTTCAGTTCGGTTATTACAATTTCGGTTTGGTTTACCAAATTTAATAAATAATGGTACATTTTCCAATATGTGGAAAATCGAGTCTGCCAACCAAACCTAGGTAACTGCTTCACGATTACGCCCATTCACAGTAGTAGACAACTTAGAATCAGAAAGATTCATCCTTTCACTCTATGCACATATTCATTACAAATACACAGCCCTTTCTTTCCTTTTCTTAAGTGCAGTTGGAGGATCATTTTTCTGCTATACTAGACATTGGCAGAACAATACTACACCCCTTCATGTACCGGTAACTCATAGTGGACACCGAAAAAAACGTCGTGCTCACTCAAGAATAAATTAGGTAGACCAATACAAATACAAGTTTGAAGGAGAGCAGTGGTCAGTGGTCACTGGTCATTAGGGGAATAAAAACATGCATGTGATAAAAAGAGTTACAAACTAAAGTCCAGCTGCCAGCAGGAAGCATTGCAATTTGCAGCAACCAGCAGGCACTGGCAGCATTGCAAATTGAATTTGCATTAACCAGTGTCCATGAGACAGCAGCAGAAAGAAACAAATTTGAGATTCCATGAAGTTTCAAATATGATCTGGTTTTAAATGTCTTGTGGTCTGTATTTTAAGGTATGAGGTTGACTAATTCAATATAAGTATTCAACATGAGAGTTGGGACGCGATGAGCACTGACCTTCGAGGCGCGACTCGCGAGCGAGCACTAAGCAGTGGCCAATGAGAAGCGGCTTGCAGTTGCGGGCTGCGAGCACTCAGCCAAGACGACTGAGCAGTGGGCAACGGCTGGCCTGAACTTAAGAGACGACGGACGACGAGCTGAGAGATGAGAGTTGAGAGACAACTGATGAGAGTTAGGGATTTCAATTCTGATTGGAATTTGGGCCACGTTTCTGGGCTATGGGTAATGGGCCGGCTGGAGCATGGTCTAAAGACTGAAGTAATTATATCTAATTTAATTAAGATTTAATCGAGTTTCCTTAGCTAAAAATCGAAAATCGAACCGAATAACAAAAATATTGAAATTTGAAACCAAAACCAACCGAAAAAACTGAAACCGAAATTTCATAAAATTCGGTTCAGTCGATTTTTTCGATTTTAACGTTTTATTCTAATAGAACTAATTTTAACTATTTAGTATCCTTCAAACAATACTATGAACATCGCTATATTTTGCGCATTACACAGACCGCATATCTTGAGTTTTCTAAGTTAGACTCCTTACTTCAAAAGAAAAATACATAAACCTAAACAAACCGTATAGAATTTGACGAAAAAAGAAAAAATCCAGACATTTCTTGCTTACAAAACACTATATATATCAGTAATCAACCATTATTTCAAGCACAACAGCATATAAAAATGGAAACCAAGTAAAATAATTACCAGTATCTGCTGAGGATGCTTGCCCAGTGGAAGAACCGAGAGGAAGACAGCTCCAAAGGGATTGAAGTAGGCGCTATCGGGCTTTAAAACTGTGGGCTATTGAGAGAAAAAAGCCCAAAAATGGGAATGTCACATGTTTTGTTTTGAGTGTAAGCGAATTATACAAACGTAACTGCAAATTATATAGATGAGCTGCAAATTATACAAACGAGTAAGCTATAACTATAACCCAAAAATATGCAAATTGTAGCTAAAAATCATAATTAAGTTTATTATAGTGGTTATTTATGAAATTTCCCATAAAAGGACCTAGTAGAGAGGCCCAACAGAAATAATGCCAGCCCAGTAACACTTTTACTTGGGCCGTTGAGGCCCTGTACATTATCATGTGTGATGTCTTAGAAAATATTTTGTGTCTTAAAATTTAGAATTTTTTGTGCAAAAACTCTTCAACTTTTTTTGGAAAACTACCTAATTATAATTGAAGTATTTAAATGTGTTTGAATCATGCTGCTAAGGGCTTGTTTGGTAGGTATAGTTAGAGTTATGCAGGTATTTATAATTTAGGAATTAGTTATGAGGGAATCTATATATCATTTTATGTAAGTATTAATTATACAAATATCTATCATGTATTAAATTACACATAGATTCTCTCATAACTTAAACATACATTAATTGGTTATGCGGGTTTTCAAATTGCAAATAAAATATCATATTAATTTTATACATAACTTATGCAGAATTTAATACCTATATAACTCACCTCTAAAGCACCTATCAAACGACCCCTTAATCTATCAGCTCAAAATCAGCATTATTCGAATCCTATTTTTAAATTATGTCTGGTCATGAATGCATGTCACCAACAAAATGCACCTCAAATCCAGACGTAAACAAATAAATTGGAATGCAATTCACTGAAAAACTTTTGGGAAAAAAACAAACAAGAAAAGCTAAAGTATTTTCTTTTGAATAACTCAGTTCACATTGCAGAGATTTTATTATTGACTTTGGTACATGTGAATTTAGAAGAAAACGTCAACATCGATCTCGATCTACTTCATATAATTAAAAGTAAAGATTTTATTATATTTGTGTTCTTTTGCCTTCATGAAACACATGTTTCACATTCAAATCAATTGAATGTCAGTTTGACCCTAACATAACAAATTAAGAAATGAATAAAACATACATCTTTTAAATAATTAAAATAATTAGTATATCAATGCACAAAAACAAAAGAATATGAGTGATCATTCATTAATAATTTTAATCTACAATGATCTAAAGGGTTGTTGGGTTTGAAAGCAAGATATGCAAAAATTATTAATATAAAATAATAAATAAATTCCTCAAACAAAATAATATCTAGCTCCACTGAATTAAGTAATAGGACATTTAATTATATATAACCCAATTATCTCTAAATGCAGATTGTTAATGAGTCTGGACAATTCAATCGTGAAGCACAACTTTAGAGAGCAAACCAGAATTATTAACCTGCATGTTTTGATAAATTCAATATTTTGATAGTTTATTCGATGTTTGACATCGATGCTTCTTGCGTAGACATTATAGAAAAGATGTTTAATAAACTTTCAAAGGATTGTAATACTAATGACTGCATGATAAACTATTTCAAATTAATGGATAGTGTCACATCACTGCTCAAGCATTATAAATTTCGGTTTGTATTATTTATTAGTATTATGTACGTTGCGCAAAAAAAAAAAGTTAGACAAAATTGGAAACAACGTGTGTTGCTTTGCTTACCGTTCTCAGGAATAAATTGTCAGAAATACAAAAGACATAATACATAATATACACTCAAATAAACATTTCAACTTTGAGAGTGTATATATAGACGCTTTAACTTGATATATATGATATGAACAGTAACTAAACACTCCAACTCATTCTTACTGAGTCTCATGGACACTTGACACTGATGTGACACATGAATTTAAAAGGTGTCTAGATGGTTATTTTGTAAGTTGGAGATGAATTGAAGTAGTGCACATTAAAAGTTAAAATACTTACTTGTTAGTCGAAAACAAATTTGAATGTCTGTTACATTGAATATGTTATGGCAATACGCAAAAAAGTGAAACACTGTCAAGAGCATTAGTCAAAAAGAGAGAAATTTTGGTAAAGTATGTCTTTTCAAATTAAATTATAATTTATACAGTAGTTCTATTGGGAATCAGACCAGGGAGAAAAATAAAAGATCAGAGAACTGTAGAGTGCTTTTTGAAAAATGGAATAATAAAGGTTATATTGTATTATGATATTTTGCTCTTTATTTTCTTCTACACTGTATATTACTATTGATGGAGCCAGATGGAAAATTATAATTTGGCAAGTTCGAAAAGCTTTTTTTTTCTCTTAGGGTCGTTTGGTTATGAACAAGTTATCCCGAGATTACTTATTTCGTGATAAGTTATTCCACTATGTATATGCGTGGAACAACTTATCATATCACTAAGGTAAAAATAGTGAAATAAATAATCCAAGAATGACCTAATTTCTCTAACCAAACATAAGATAAAATAATCATGTATTTTATTATGATATTATTATACCTTATACCTCAACGACTTCTTATAGTAATTAGTTAACAAAGCTTGAATAAAACAATTTATTTTTAAAAAAAGTTTAGGCTTTATATTATATGCGCCTTTTCTACTGTACTTCAGTTGGTTGAGTATTAAATTGAGAGAAGTAATAAATTAAGTTAAATTAGTTAATTTATTCTGTAGTTAATATTTTTATTGAGTATGCAAAACAAAACATGATAAGTAAAATGAACTAAAGGAAGTATTATCTTTCTCATTTTTTTAATCACAAAATAAAATGATGTGCAGAATCGGTTCCTTCATTTTCCTAGTAATTCTTGCTCCAACTAATAATTGTTTACTATAAGCTCAATTTGTTAAGCTAGGATATTCATATCACGTGAATTAGGCTTTTTGCAAGTATAATTGTTTATTAGAGTCTCTCTCTTCAAAAAAATTCAAAAAAAAAGTTTTTTAAAAAAATTTACATGAACGTTGCATGAATACATGACTTTACGTAACGTTAGGCGAGAATTTATATGTGATAGATAATAGATTAGACAAAGTGTTGCTAATTAAGTCCAAATTTCAACTACTTTAAGACTTAAGTACGTGCAATTGTTATAGAAAATTTTAAAACTCGATTTAACCAAATAATTAGGTTACGGTAATGACTAATAATGAACTCTTGACAATCCAGCTCCTAAAAAGTGCTGATACTTGTAATTATTATTGAAGAGTGACTTGTATCCAATTAAATATCGCAAATGAGTTGAAGAATGTTAATTTACACTTGTTAATGTCAATAACAAATCAGAAATTTCACTAGGTGAAGCAAGGAAATTTATCTGAACCCCTCTCAATAAAAAAATACATTGCATATATATAATTATAAGATGAATTATAATTATTTTAATATAAAATAGAATTGAATTTACTTGTACGTGATTCAGTTACTTTTTTTTTTAAAAAAATTGGGGTGGAAAAGGGGAAAAGGAAAGGATCGAGAGTTCAACAACCAATCAACTAAGCTATTAAGATTTCACAATCGATTAATTTGATAAACGAAATTGAAGTATAACATGGATACGTACCCAAATAATCAGGTAACAACTCGTTTGGTCAAGCACTGGCGAATGGTATTTGGATTCCGTCCAAATTAATGTGAAGTGAAAGAGAAAGGTAAGTGAACAGTTTAAGTGAAGGTAAAGTCGTGATGGATAGTGGGCCTATTTTTGAGTGACCACCGACCGCCGCTTTAGGGTGTCTTTTTCCCACTGAAATTGGATGCCATGAAAATGACTCTCCTTCTTGGCCTTTGAGCCCTTTGATTTTTGGCCACCCAACTTTAAACAGAAGAAAAAAATCACTTCCTACTCCTTTTACAAATTGCTCTTTTGGCTTCCTTACATGGACCAATTTACTTTTAAATTAAAGGAAATAATCAAAAATAATTATGTACATATCATAGAATAAATCTTTGTTTTTCTATTTGAATTTGTCTTTATTATTATTCTTAGAGGATTGACTCAGATTTAGAAAACAGAACAAAATTCGTCCTTCGTTTTGAATTTGGTTTTAAATATTGCACTCGGTTAAAGTGTGTGAGCATCTCATCTAAAAGTTTAAATATTATCTGCTCTAACTATTGATTATTTTCTCAGAAAGTCACTCAACTATTGAATATTTTCTCAGAAAGTCACTCAACTTTGATTTTTAACTCAAAAGTCACTCAACTATGATTTCTTTTCTCAGCATGTCACTCAACTATGCATTCTTTTTTCAGAAAATCACTCAACCTATTTAATTAATTTTTCTAATTAAAATTTACTTACATGAAATTTTTATTTCTAACTAAAATTGTAAAAAGATGACCCACCTACTTGACTCGATCCACTAAAATTATAATAGTGATCCTTTTATTTTACCTTTTCCCCCAAATATAATAGTTAGCATTAATTATTTTAAGAACGTTTAAATTCCATGAGTTTTATGATTATTTTCTACACTATGTTTAACACGTATTTATAAGAACATTGTTCCAGTTTGAAAAAAATAATTAAGTATAGTATATTGACGGTGATATTGGATATTTTTAAGCATAGTATAATTGGCAGTACAAATGGATACTTTTTTTTATTTTTATTTTTTTTGCTTAGGAATAAAAATTTCATTAAAGTAAATTTTAATTAAAAAATTAATTGAATAGATTGAGTGACTTTGTAAGTAAAATATCTATGGTTGAGTGATTTTGTAAGTAAAACACTCATAATTGAGTGACTTTTGAGTTAAAATTCAAAGGTGAATGACTTTTTGAGAAAAAATCTATAGTTGAGTGACTTTCTGAGAAAATAATTCATAGTTGAGTGATTTTTGAGTTAAAAATAAAAGTTGAGTGACTTTCTGAGAAAAGAGTCCATAGTTGAGTGATCACCTGAGATATTAATTCATTACTTTTCTTACTCATCTGTAATTTAACAGCAATTAAACAGAAGAACATTTTCAATATTAAGGAATAAAAATTAAAAGAGAAAAGGGAAAGTAATCAAAGTTTACATTAAAATTTTGGAAAATTCCTAAATTTACCTTGAAGTTGAATTCCTAAAAATTAAATACAATTCCAATTTTTATTCACAATTTCAATTTTTATCATTTTTCACTTTAAAATCATGACCCTTTTATTATGTGACATGTGACCTCTGAAAATTCAAGAGACTTTTTGAGTATTAATATTGTTCAGTTTATAGTGTTCCTAACTCCATTTATTATTTTGTGTGGGGAGAAAAAAACATCTACCTTTTCAAAGGCAAGAAGCTAATGTATAAGCTAAGGTTTATAGCTTTTCATCAACTTGATTGTATGTGTCATGGTCTACTTCTTACCCACCACATGGGGTTTGCTAGGCACCCAACAGCCATGCACCAACCCCATTTTAAATATACTAATAAATTAAAACTGAGTTTAAGTTATTCATAAATTATGAGTGTACTAAGCTTTTATGTATCGGGTCATCTTTATTTGTTGTAATAGTTAATTATCTTATTTATAAAATTACAAATATCATATTTTAAAGAGTTTACTTGCAGATATCAAGTTACCAAAATGATATTACTTATGTAGATTTTGACTCATAAATAATTTAGCTTCTAATCGGTTAGAAAACAAAGGTTCTTCCCATCGCAAATTAATGAAAAATTTGTATTAGAGAATATAATTTTCCCACTGAATCAACTAACTAGGAAAATGCATGGAGCGAAATAGATTTTCACTGAAAATAGTGGAAAACTTCCTATTTTTTCAATATGAAATTTATTTCTCACCGATTCAATGAAAATAGTCATTGAACATTTTTCTGACAGGAAATTCAATGAGAAAATAGTAGTAATTCTTTTTAGCAATAGACCCCTTAAAAATTAATCAAAATCACTAGATATCAAATTGTTAAGCACTTCTTTTCTTTATTGGTTTTCTTTGAGGCTGAGTGAGATTATACTAAGTATATTATTATCAGTTGAGCTTCTATTTCATTCATGGAATAAAGAAATATATAGTACGTACTAATTATTATACACCACTTGAGTGGTTTTTTTTTTTTTTTATATAAATAAAACTTATTCCCTAAATTCCATGGTTCTATCAAAATGTGATCACATCATATGTAGTCAATTTTTGTTGTACAATAGATGGATGTATAAATGAAAACTTGGCGTATAGTGAAGTCATTTTCTGGAAGATAGTGACTAAAGCAGAAGCACCAGTGCTTATAATTCCAAGTAAAAGTCACCATCTCACACATGGGTGCCCAAATGACTACGTAGCCTATGCAACCAAAAGTGACTACATGACATGATCATGCAAAACAAACTTTTCTATTTTATAGACATATTGGCCCCCAACCATACATATTGATGTGTATATTTATTCACATAACACTGTTAATTTAATCTTATCCCATCCCCTTTTCATAACACTTATAACGCTTATGGTTCTTCTTTCAGAAAATCAGTCAATGTTCTTAGTTGAGTGACCAATTAGTTGCGAGAACTTTAATTATTGAACAAACTAAAATTTTCACCAGGTTCATTTTAACCTAATGCTTGTGAAATAGTAGATTTGAATCCACAATTTTTATAGACGAATTTATTTAAAAAATTGACTTCATAATTTAAATTTTGAATTCGTCTACTAACAATTCTTTAGATAGGTAATAGGTGAAAGTCTTGTGATCAATTCCTTTCTTCTTTATTTTTACATTTTTTAATCTCTTTAAGTAAATAACATCTATAGACTTATATTGTAATGCCTATGATTAAGGTTGTAAAAAAAAAACACAAATAGCTTCTTGATGCTTCAAATACTTAGGCTACATGTTATTTAAAATTGATGAAAATTACTAACTTACATAAAAGCTAATTTCTATGGTCACTAAAGTACCAATAAAGATTTGGTGCTTGATCAACAGAGTAAATGTTGCAAGAATCCTCTGTTGTAAAACCATTTTGCTCCTCAATTCTCCCAACACCTTGTTGCTGCTGCTGATTATTACTATTATTATTATTATTATTATTATTATTATTATAAGCTCTCATTGATGATGATGTAGAATTACTTGCCCTTGGATCCATTAATTGTGTGTATGTTGATGAAGATAATGACAAATGATCAAGGGCATTATTGTAAGATGACACTTTAGGCATTAATTGTTGATATTTGAGTGTTGAAATGTTGTAATTTTCTTCATTCATCACTCCACTTGAATCACTATCTGATGATCCATCTTTTGAATCTGATGAATTCTTCAACTTATTCAGAATTTCTTGTGGCCTTTGAAATACAGGGGATAATAATGTTTCCTCTCCTAGCTTCTCTTTCAGTCCTTTTAACTGCAATTTCGATAATAACCACAATCATAGTGTCAGCTAAAAAATCCGGTACATAAAACATCATTGTGCATAAGCATAAATGACTGAACTCATTAGCGTTCACCTTCACGATTTTACACTACTGGACAAGTAAAAATAGGCGGAGGGAGGGATTATTAGATAAGGAAATGTGGAAGATTTATAATTACCTCAGTACGCAAGCCTTCTTTTTCATGTTCAACTTTGGTGTAATTATGTTGAAGAGCTTCATAATTGGACTTGAGAATGTTATAATCTCTTTCTAATTGCTTAGTCTTCCAACGGGCGCGGCGATTTTGGAACCAAATTGCAATTTGTCTTGGTTGCAGGCCTATTTCTTGTGCAATTTTTACTTTTCTATCAGGATCAAGTTTGTTATCAACTTCGAAAATTTTCTCCAGTGCTTGAACTTGATCCACTCTTAACCTCCTTTTCTTCCCTGTTCCACATCCACTTTCTTCTATCCCATCTTCATCTTCCAATCCATCTAACATTGCCTGAAATTCATTGCTATATCCCAAATTCTCTGTATTTTTCTCTGCAATGTAACACACACACACAAAAAAAATAAAGAAAACAATGATCAGTCAGTCCTATTAGAAGTTCAGTGGACTTAAACGTCTATTACTTCATTTACTTTATATCCTGTTATTTGTTATCATATTTTCTTGTAAGATTCGAGGGTCCATCGAAAACAGCTTTCCTGGCCTCAAAGGTAAAGATAAGTTTTTGTGTACATTCGCCGACTATTTTCATATGTAGTATTGTGAATAAATCTTATTAACACACACAAATACCAAGTTTGAACTAGAGTTACTGAATTTTATGAAATTTGTAGGTTTAAGGCGGGCTTTGAAAGCCTCGGCCCTAAACTAGAGAAGGATTTAACTTAGTGTAATAATTACCTTCAGTTGGATAAAGCAATTTGCCAGAAGAATCTGAGAAACTGAACCTCTTCATGATGATAAGATTAGTTTTTCTCCTTAATTCTTTGGTTTGACAAAAACACAGGACTTGAAAATTTGTAATGTGAAACTTGAAATTGTTGAAAGGAATTATACAAAAACACCAAATCTTTGTATAGTGATGTTTTAGAATAGCACAATAATAAGCTAAATTAAAAGACGTGGATATGAATAAAAGAAAGAAAAAGGGGTAAACTCAATAGCAATAGAGAAAAAAATACAAATTAAAGGGACTTGCTTTTCATCATTAACCAATCAATCTAACAAAATAAATAGGAAGAAGAAGAGAAGAAGAAGCTAAGAAAGAGAAAAGAGAAGACTCTGTATGAGAGAAAAATAAAAGAGTTTATATGGTTTTTTTTTTCCTTTTCAAAGGTATGGACCAACAGTAGTTTTATATATGCTGCCCAGCTATATATCTTCTTTTAATGATGTGAAATGACTTTTTATAATTTGACAATTACTACTACTACTACTATTTTTTTTTCCACAATTATTTTTTTTATATATTCTTTCTTTTGATTTTTATGTCTTTCAAACTGTGAAATTTGAATCCAATTGTCCAGTTGGCTCCAGAAAGTCCAACTGCATGCTAGTTTTTTCAGATCTAATTTTAGAACAAGACAATCAACAAATTGTTTTGCAACATACATAAATTTGCTATTTTAATATTTCCATTTGCTTGAGAACCTTAATTGGTGCATTGGAGAACGGTAGAGTATAACCTACAGGTTATGACTTGAGCTGTGAAAGCAGTTACTAATGTTAGTATTATGATAAATTGTTACTATCACATTCTATATCATGAGTGAACACGAAATAGTTGATGCACCATATTGTCTTTTTATGTAATAGAAGTTATTGTTTCTTGATTTGAAAGTTTATCCAGTAACAAGCTTTACAGTACGGGTGAACTTCAGTTAGTCATATATAAGAGAAGGAATAAACTTCATCAATTGGGCACAAGAATAGGTAACCTAGAAGTTTAAAATTTATTCATGACGTTATCATATATAGGCAAATGCACACAAATTCTGTGATCTGCAATTTTGTATGACAGTCTCCACAACTAACCACCCATGTATAATCCAACCTAGATAAGCATATACTAATATTATACTAATAGAATCACGGAAGATAAGCATATACTAATATTATACTAATAGAATCACGGTTTATTCGCCGTATACAGTGACGGAATCAAAAATTTTATAGACAATATAATTATTTGCCTGAAAAGGACTTCGGATGGATTTCTTGGCCCTACTTGCTCTGCCAGTACGGAGAGTTTATTATTCATATAATATTAAGAGAAAAGGGTCTGAAAAATATTTCAACTTTGACCGAAATTGATGTTACAATACCAAACTTTATGGAGGACCTTTTACCCCTGCACTTTTTAATAGTGTATTTTAAAGGTATATATGTGCCCATGTGGACACGCTACTATTTATAATGATGCAATATTTATGATGTCCACGTGGACACATATATACCTTTAAAATACACTATTAAAGAGTGCAGGGGTAAAATGTCATTTTCAAAGTTTGGTATTGTTACAACAATTTCGATCAAAATTCGGATATATTTCATACTTTTTTCCCAAATATTAATGTGTTTTAACCTAAGGTAGTAGATAACTAATTATTTTATTTATTTAGATTCTACTAGACACACTTATTAGAGACAATTACTTAAATTTGTTCTTTAATTAGTTACCTAATAGTATAAATATATTTTTACCGTATCAGCATACAAAATAAAATTCAAGAATTGTACATAGTAGTGGATCCAGTACATAAGTTTATGGGTTGTCAGTTGCTGAAAAATTATATAATATGCATATAGGGTGTTTACGGGTCGGTTTGGATCGTCTATTGGTTAAAATCAAAATCAAATCAACTTAATTGGTTTTAAAATTATCAAAATCAAATCAAACCAAATATAATATATATTTATCGGTTTGGTTGTTATCGGTTTCGGTTCGGTACGGTTTGGTTTGGTTATTTGGTTATTAACCATAGACAAAAATAAAAGAACAATTCATTCAAAACGTGAAAAAAGTGACAACAATTCATTTAAAACGAAAATAGTTAGAATGACTGACATTGATATTTTCAATCTTATAAAGAATTGTCATAGACACATTCATATACATAAAACCAATAAGATATATAAATATACTCACCTTGGACATTTTATCTTTCATAAGTAAATTATAAATAATTTTTTGATGAAAACACATATAAGATCTTTAAAATTATTTATAAAAATAATTTATTATGTATGTATAATAATAAAATATATGTCTATAATTTGTCGATTCGGTTCGGTTATTTTTTTGGTTTTTTTCTAACAAAATCATAACCAACCCATATTCTATCGGTTTTTACAAATCTAAAATCAAACCATACCTAACCCAAATAAAAATCGATTTATTTAATCGATTTGATTCAATTTATTTAATCGATTTGATTCAATTTTTCGGTTTGGATCGGTTTTTATCCAAATCGTGAACACCCCTATATGCATATATGGAAATCGGTTCAGAACTAACTAATAATATAAACCTTATGATTTTTAGTAATAAACTTATTGTATTTTTAAAAATATTACCCCTTATTTTTGTAATTTTAGTAGATTTAATTCTTACCCTATAAATTTATGATCCAACTCAAAAGTACTTATGTTTAGGGTTTAGATAAACCCACGATATCGTAATGCTACATCCACCTCAATGTACAAGTTAAATATTACTTTTTATATCTATATAGTAAATCTTACTTAGTTGAGTATAGATTCTATAACACCCCAGAAAAAAAATTGAACTAAGATTCGAATCGTTTTTCGTAGTGAGTGAGATTTTATCAAGGAATTAAAAATTTCTTAAGTATTAAGGTCAGGTCACTAGATGTAGCACCTTGAGTTCCAAAAAGAACTAAATTGGAAATAGCAAAATCTGAAATTTTGCAAGTTAAGCTTAGTATGAGTTTTGGGTCGACTTCAAACGACCATAACTCATAGCTCAGGATGAGTTAGGTGTGATACCATATACCGTAGGAAATATCTTTGAATTATCTTTCCAACGTCGCCGAGTTTGCTCAGTTTCAAGTTCGTATGAGGGAGATATGTCCATTAGAAGTTGGGTTGTCTAGATAAGAAAAGTCAAAACCGTATTTTAGAGGGGTATTTTGGTCTTTTCCTTACCCAATCAAATTTATTTCATTTTTAGTAATGCTTTAGGGGTCTAATCCTATTAGCTTCAGTTTTATAATCCAAATATACACCTAGGGTTTTAGTTGAGAGTTCAAGAAGAGAAAAAAAGAGAAAATAGGAGAAAAGATGAGAGGATCAAAGCGTTCGTCGAGAGTCTTGCGTTTTGTTGCGGATTTTCGCCATGGGTTCAATCCCTAAGAGGTGTGTAAGCTTTCATAGTGTTGGGTTTGTTCACCCACATGCCAAACATGTTATTTTCAGCACAAATTTCATTCTTGAAGTTGAAAGATTAGAGTTCTTGATAGGTGTTCTTGAAGTTCTTTCTAAATCTTGTTGTATTGGGGTTTTAATGATTTCTTGAGATGAAATTTAGTAATTTAAGTGTTTTTGAGTAGTTTAGAGTGTAATTATGTTAAGTAATCGAATCCAAGTGATTAGGGAAGAAATCGTTCGATTCTAGGCGAGTTAGGGTGAGAAAGCGAGCAAAGAAAGTCGTCGAAGTTTTTTGGGTTGGGGCCTGGCGTGTCACGCCAACCAGAGCGCCCCAACCACTTCTCTGAACTTTAGGGGCTGGTACCCCACGCCACTCAGAGCGCCAGGGTCGCCTGCCCCCACCCGTTCTTCATCGTTTTGTCCGTTTGAGTTTTTTCAAAAGATACCTTTACTCCCCTTTGATTCTAAACACTCTAAAATACTTCTAAACGCCTAAATCATACCTAACATGATCATAACCTTGAATTCATAATTCAAATTCAAGGTAGAGTTGAGGGTTAAGTTTTGAGAATTTTTTCAAACATTCTAAGAAAGTCCTTTTGAGTCCTTTTGTGGAGTCTTCTACAACTCCTAGTAACTTGTTTCTAGACTCAAGTAAGTGAGCATGAGAGTGAGGAGAATGTATTCATGAGTCTACTTTGTCATCATGAGATCCTTCATATCATGAACCATAACTCTTGAATTCATAATTCACATTCAAGAAAGAGTTAAGAGTAGAGTTCAAGAAAGCTTTTGAGTTCAATTGTGAATCCTTTGAGATCCATAATCGATTTGATTTCAGTTTTGAGAAAGTAAGTATGAGAATGAGAAGAGTCGTATACATGAGTTCCATAATGTCATGTAGACCCTTAAGTCGAGTCGTTCATACCCATAAATTTCGCATGAACTTCATAAATTGATCATCTATGAGAGGAGTAGTATCTTCATGTCCTAAGTCTTGACTATTGAGTTTATATTCCTAATCATGGGACTATTACATGTTACCAATGAAGTCTTTGAGTTGGGTTATTCATGTCCATAATTCTGCATGAACCCTATTAGTCGAGCAGTCTTAAGATGAGAAGTATCTTTGAGTTGAGTAGTTTATGCTCATAATTTCGCATGAACCCTATGAGTTGAGCATTCTTGAAGTGAGTAGTATCATTGAAGTTCTTGAGTTCCAAGTATTGAGTTTTATCTATGGTTATTGAAAACCTTGCATTGAGTCGTTCACGTTCATAATTCGGCATGAACCATATTTTAAGAAGTCTTTTACAAACGTTTTAATTTTATTTTAAGGCTTAAGATTTGAGTTGAGTAAAGATTAAGACTAAAGTTCATTTTCTTTAAAATGATATATGGGAACTAAGTATTCCCAAGAGTAAATGTTTTCACATTTAAGATGAGAGGAAACTGAGATTTCCAAAAGAGTTTTGAGCAGTTTGAGTACCATCTTTTTTAAGAGAAAGATTTTTGAGTAATTATCTCAAATCAAAGAAAAAATTATGTTTTTAAACATATGAGCTGAGTATTTTAGGAATAGTATTGAGCACCGATATGGGAACGAGTTTG